GTGTCACGTTTACACCATCGTCGCCCGAGATCGCAAGCCAGTACAACTACACGTGGGAATCTTCGACATACGGCAACACTACCCCTATCCATGCCAGCTTTCCTCCATTTCAGTGGGGAGACCACTTTGCAGTCCGAAACGCTTGGGAGGAAGCAGGTATTGAGCTTAACAACGAGTGTGCCAATGGCAACAAGGAGGGTCTGTGCTGGGTCCCTATCTCTCAGCACCCGGTAACAGCGAGGCGTTCCCATGCCGGACTGGGCCATTATGCCGATGTGGTCAACAAGGGTCGAGAGAACTACCATCTTGTTGTTCGACACCAAGTTACTCGTCTAGTGTATCCGAGTGGCGACCCGACTGCTGGGCCTCCCCTTGTCGAAATACGGTCTGTGGATAGTGGTGAGACGGCAAACATCACTGTCAAAGCCGAAGTCGTGCTCTCCGCTGGTGTGTTTGGATCGACGGCAGTTCTACAACGGAGTGGGATTGGGTCTGCATCCTTCTTAAAGAATTTGGGTATCCCAGTCGTGGTGGATCTTCCAGGAGTAGGTGCCAATCTCCAAGATCATTCCGGTCCGGTGGTCACCTGGCAGTGTAAGTCCTACCCCTGAACCCCCTTATCAAATTCCAAGCAGCCAGATAATCCTCAAACCAAAACACCACAGATGCCACTCCTCCCAACTTCACCGCCCCCATGCCCCAGGACATGCTCAACCCCCCCTTCGCCGCCGCCGCCGCAGCCGCATTCAACTCCACCCCCGCCACCGGCCCCTACACCCTCGCCATGTCCGACAGCTTCATCTTCATCTCCCTCCCCAACATGACCACCCCTGCCTCTCTTTCCACCCTCCTCTCCAAAATCCACTCCCTCGCCACCGCCAATTCTACCACGGCCTTATACCTCCCGCCCGTATACTCCTCCGACCCGACCCTCCTAGCCGGCTACCGCGCGCAGCTCCTCGCCCTTGCAGATCTCTACGCCAGCCCCCACGCTCCCTCTCTGGAATCGGCGTTCGCAACCGGGACAACACTCCCCGCGGCGTTACTCCACCCCCTGTCACGAGGGACTGTTCGGTTAAACGGGACACACCCGTTGCAGCCCCCCGTGTTGGACTACCGGTCTGCTTCGAATCCAATTGATGTCGACCTGCATCTTGTGCATCTGCGATATGTGAGGAGGGCGATGCAGGCGAAGACGATGAGGGGGCTAGGTGTAGTGGGGGTTCAGCCGGGGGTGGGTGTGCAATCAGATGAGGAGATGGTGAAGTATATCAGGGGGAAGACGACGCAGTCGTTTATGCATCCGTGTTGTACCACGGCGATGATGCCGAGGGAATGGGGAGGGGTGGTGAGTGCGGAATTGAAGGTCCACGGGGCGGCTGGGTTGTGAGTGCTGTATTTCCTCACTTTCCCCCGTGAACATTAGTGCGGGAGGAAGATTGCTGACAGCTGACGATGCAACAGGCGAATCGTGGATGCTGGAGTGTTTCCGATACTTCCAAGTGCGCATCTCAGCGCGACGGTGTATGCTGTTGCAGAAAAGGTCAGTGGTTCACTGAAAGGGGTAAGTTAGAAAACTCCACGTCAATGCTAACAAGCCGTTGTGCGTAGGCCGCAAGCATCATTATTGAAGACTGGAGTGGTCGTTGACCCATGGTTTACGGCCAAGGCAACTGTAGGTATGTTGAATGGCGAGAGTAATTAAAGGGGATGCACTGAGGTGTAAGCTTGATGTTAGTTGCCTGTTTAGGTGGTGACCAGAAGGAGTAGGCTGCTGATGGGAGTCAAGCTGGGTGATAAAAGTGGTTCCAGGGGGTGGCCGATGGTCACCCCCGGCACCGGGACTGGTGCCCCGGGCGCAGTGTGAAGAGTAGCACGGGGATAAATGGGAAAAGGCTTCTGGAGCAGATAAAGTATTTTTTCTGTTGTAAAATTGTTGACCCAGCCTCCTAATCAACAACACTGCCACGACGAAATGTAACTCCCGTCCACGCGGTCCGGCATCCGGGCATCGTCTGCATGTTGATTGCCTGGGACCGAAACGTCATGCATGCCTCCCTTGTCGCCCCTGCCTCGCCTCCGCCGTGGCCTGAAAGCTTTTTTTATGTTAGTCATTGTGTTGTGGAATGGGTGGTGAAGAGACCAGCGAAGAATGATTGCGTCAAGATTGGGAAAACTTGTCCTTTATCTTGGCGAGGTCATTGAGGATCCTAGTCTGGTGCGAGGCCTCAGCGGTAGCGATATCGTTCGTACGATCCGGAAGAGCCACGAGAGTGTTCCCAAGAGTGGATGCTTCGTCAAGGTATCTGGAGATGCGGCGGTTGGAGAAGGATCGAGAGCGTGGGTGGTACCCCGATAGAGAGGATGAGGAGGTTTTGGATGATCCGCTCGTTGGCCTGGAATACGACAAGGAGGGATCCGTCAGCATGGTGACACATTATGAGGGGGGGGATTAGTACCAACGCACCCGGAGCTAGGTTGCTGATTGTTTGGCAGAGCCATTTGGAGGTCATTTGAGATGACTTGAATGGTCAACTGGTGGTTGTAAGAGGAAGTGGCAGAGAAGGCAATTTTGATGATTTGGAAGTAAATATCGACAAAGTTTATATCAGGCAGCTCGAAAGGATCTAAGGGGAGCAAAGAAAGCAGGTGGATTTGGCCATGTCACGGGGCTAGGCCCAATCGGGGTTAACCTTGGCTGCAAGCCAAGACCTCCCCTTCCAGGGAACCGGGTCAGGCCCTCCCATAAGAAGGACCTTCCTCAGGGCCACCCCTTTTGTATCTACTTTTACTCCTTCATAGAAACCACAATAGATTCTGTCACCAGCCACGGTTCTACCTGGCTGGACCGTCACAGGCCAACTGGCAGATTTATCAAAAAGGGGGATTACAACCCGCAGGTCAGGTTCCATGCCAGACACTTCGCGCCTGGAGCGCAGATTGCCAGAAAATCCGCCAAACCCCCATTTTGTTACTACCTTGATGTCCCCTTCCCAGGCGTTTGAGTTGCAGGACCAAGGCACCCCTTGGTACCGTGTACCCGAATTTCAGCATATCTTTAGCAAACAGGGTGGCCATATGCGAGATACCCGTCCACCGCCCAAGCCTGAGGATCAAGCTGCTCTCATCCTTGCCTCTTGCCAGGCGGCATGCAACCACTCTCCGCATCGAATCGGCCAGCCTCATCTTCAGGCAGCAGAAGTTCCTCCAGTGAATCCTTGAAGAGAAGCAAAGCTGCGGTGGTTACTGCAGTGCCCCGTCTCCGCCCTTCGATGATAGGCTCGATGCAATATTGCGCGAGCTCGGCCGCAACATTGGCACATCGACTTCAAGTGCTAGGCGAATCGGACGTCTGGAGAGTGCATTGCTGGTTGAGTAGAGCGCCAATGCGGACCCTTTTTCACGCCTTTTCACCTCATCTGACAAGGCCGAGATGTCGTCCACACGCCCTCTGTTTCGTTCCCGAGAAGGGGGGGGGGGTGGGGGGGGGGGTGTGTCCGTTTCGTTGTCTCGTGTCGTCGCCCTCGGGGGTCGTCGAACAGTAGCGTCGTCAGCGAGGCTTCAAACAGGCATGTCCAGACTTGTCCTTCTCGCTAACTTTAACCCCTTTGAGCATCGCCAGATGTTTCTGGCAATTCATGATTCGTTGGCAAACCAAAAACAGAAACTGCAGAACAAATGCGTCAGCGACTTGCATTGACAGTGGGCTGGATGACACCAACTTCACTCACCGACATTGCGCACCCAGCTGCAACTGCAGCCTCCCTTCCAGCTGTTGACAGCCAATGTGACCCGGTCACGTCGTAATCACGGGAAATTGTCGGGACCGCGGGAAGCGCCTCGCTCATAATGACCGGGGTGACGAAGTTGCTGCCTTGCATGGATCTCGGGCTTCTGAGCGTCAGCGGTGGTTGCCTTGGTTGCCTTGGTTGCCTTGCCGGCAGTTGCTCGTGGTTCGCAAATTGTGGTTTGGCAGCGACTTGAACACGCTGGACACAGCTGCCCCGGGCCCTAGCTGTGTCCCGCTCAATTTCTCAGGTCCGGAAGGTCCAAGGTTGAGCCGCAAAGAGGGAGGGGTCGGCCGGGCACGTGATGATCATGTGATTTGCACGCGCCGAATGGAAATACCAACAAGGAGATTTGCGACCTGCTCTCACATCCGGCCCAGTTGGGCGCCGTGGCATGATCGCCAAAGCCTGAAGTCGGTGCCGCGCACCAGGCTCGGCGACTGAAAGCTTGCATGTCGTGTACTGTCGTCGACAACGGGATGCGAATTGCTGCTGTCAACAATCTCATCGCGTTGTGGTGTCGTCATCATGGCAGAAGCAGGCCAAGAACAACGTCAAGGGCGAAGAGTAAGTCGCAGTGTTGCTCTGGCTGGCCCTAGTACTATCGCTGCGACTGTGCAAGTCGGGGGAGATGTGTGGGGAAGGTGAAGAAAAAGCCCAATTGGCTCGCTTGAGCAGGACAGGAGCTCGGAGGAGTAGAATATGAGCAATGGGAGGACGTGGAAGGAGGAAGGGAGGAAGGAGAATGCTGCGACGACACAGCTGGGCGCAGGTGGGACGGCGAGCTTGGTTTATATATGTCCAGCAGGGCAATTGGAAAAGGTGGTGCTTTAAATGGATGGAGATTAAAACCCGTGGACGTTAGTGGCGCGTCCTCCTTGACAGCTGAGATGGAATTTACAAACTGCCATTTCGGGAAGTTGGAAAAGTGGGGAGGTGTGACCGTTTTCCCGATGCCCATGGGTGGCTGCAACTGCCTAACCATTCATAATGGCATTTGGCCACACCTGCAGATGTGGGAGAATTTAGAGTAGTTCGCCCGAGGCTTCCAATTGGTTGTCGTGGCTGGGCTTTTGATGCCAGACTGCAACACATCTGTGTGCATCAGAACACATCTGTGTGCTCATGGTCAGCTTCGTGTCCCCCTGCTCCACAACACCATCCCAGGACGGACCAAAACCCACCTTATAAGTGGAGGCAAAAAGGAAGCTTTGCCCACTGCCAGAATTGAACTGACGACCTTGTCATTACTAGTGATCATTACTAGTGACACGCTCTACCACTGAGCCAAGCGGGCTGATGAGGCAGATCCACAGGGGACGCTGCCGATGCGTCAGCCGCGAATCGAACGCGGGGCCCATCGATGGCAACGATGGATTTTACCACTAAACCACTGACGCTTCTGTTTGATGTTTAGGGGCATGTAATGGGGGCTTTGGTTCATGGGCGGGAAGCTCAGGCAACAGTTCGATCTTTTGCAGGCCGATGAAGTCGAATGTGCACCGATGTTCTTGGTCAGTTGCCGGCCTGAGTTGGGATCCCCTCTTCCAGTACGCAATGTCCCTGAGGGAAACTTCACGGAGGGGTCCCTCGGGGGTTGCTTGCAATCGGGACGCCAATTTGAGAATGGATGCGTAGCGTGAGAGCGTGCTTGGCGTTGAGAGTTCCTGGATCATGTCGCACAGCTCCTGGGGCAGCCCAGAAAGCTGCTGCCAGCCGGCATGCAAAGCAGCCACTTGTTGTCGGATTTGTCGCGGACCTGGGCCTGGTGCCCTTTTGCGTCGAACGCCGCCCTGGCCGAAAATCGCCCTGATTCTTTGTTTCGCATCCGAGTCGGGGCAGCGAGACACGATGACGCCGGCCTTACAATCGGTGGAGTCGTCAGATGGAACCAACACAACGCACATGCCACCACTGATCATGTTCTCGTCGCAGAGACCACAGCGCGGCGACATGTGCACGTGGGTTGGTTCGCTAACCTGCTGCATTTTCGCAATACAAATGTTGGATGAGGTTCGGTGTTTGGTGTTGGGAAAGCGGACGCCCATCACCAGGCATCTATTCTTAGGCGGGGTAATGCCTTCATCTGCGATTGCAATTGGCCTCCTTGGAGCAGTCAGGTATCGATAAGAGGTTCCTCTGGCATGGTATTAGTTTTATTTTACACAGTCTTTTCTTCCCACACTGCCGGGTCCACAACTGTTTATCGGTCCGTTCTCAAGCCCAGGATAAGGGAAATTATCACACACTAACCGGTTCCAGATGCGAAGACATTGTCCAAGCGTCGGGTCAACCCCCTGTCTTAGTACGTGGCAGGGGATGATGCTGCAAAACAAAAGCATTTGACATCCCATCAACCTTCTGGTCAGACTGAACATCACCCCACCAATATTAACCCAAACCACCACCAAAATGGCCGGCGACACAACAGCACCACCGCCCAAGCGGGAAATGAAGGTCCTCGCCCTCGGCCTCTTCCGCACCGGCACATACAGCATGTCGCAAGCCCTCACCACGCTCGGCTACGCCAACGTCTACCACGGCCTCAACTCCATGGGCAACAACTCCGACTGGGCCATCCTCGGCAACGCCGCCGACGCCACCTTCCCCAGCCTCCCCACCTACCGCGGCCCCGGCAACGAGTTCACCCGCCAAGAATGGGACGGGATCTGGGGTTCCTGCGAGGCCGTCACCGACGTCGCGAGCATCTTCGGCGCCGCCCTGGTCAAGGCCTACCCGGACGCAAAAGTCATTCTTGTCGAGCGGGACTATGGGAAATGGAGCAAATCCGTCAACGAGACCATCATCACCTCGCTCTGGGGCACCATCCCGAACTTTTTTGTGAATGTTGTCGAGCCGCTTCTGGGGTCCGTGACGGGGCCGGCAAATCGCAAGATGTTGCTTGGATGGGCCAACGCAAAGGATGAGAAGGAGTTAGGTGCGAACTTGCGGGCTGCGTGGGAGCGTCATCATTCCGAGATTCGGGAGACGTGTGCGGCTACCCCGGGGAGGTTGCTCAACTACAAGCTTGGGGATGGATGGGCGCCATTGTGCGAGTTTCTCGGGAGGGAGGTGCCGGTTGGGGAGGATGGGAAGCCGTTGCCTTTTCCTCATGCTAATGAGGCTACGGCGTTACGGCAGAAGATCATAGATCAGCAGATCACCATGCTGAAAAAACTGGCTGGCAATATGTTGCCATGGGTGGGAGGGGCAACGGCTGCAGGTGCGGGTTGGTGGTGGGCGAGCAGCCAAGGTTGGATTTAAGCAGCATGGTCTTGGATATTAATGGGATATATATAAGGATAGACTTGTAACACATATCGGGATTGCCCAGTCCATGTTCACATCCACAGTTCAATACGGAGGCGGACAAATGTTTCACAACATGTCGAGACATGAACAGTCAATTCAAGTAACCGACAGTATATCTACTCCTACATCGCCCTTGACCAACAGATACCAGGCCGGTAGTATCTTTAATAACTGACACCCGAGTCCGTGTCTCCATCGTCACTGCAATATCGCTGGTCCTCTTGACTCTCATCCTCCAGGTCTTCCTGCGATGCCTCGGTTTCTTCTCCCTGTTCCTCTTCCTCGTTATCATCATCTCCAACATTTGCTCCCATATCATCAACTCCATCAAAGAAATCGTCATCGCTACAATCCTCTGCCTTGGATCCATTCACTAATCCTACAGATCCACCTCCCAATGCGGCTGTGCCATTCGTACCCGTCGACGCCGTTGCCTCGTTGAAGAGTGGGTGGTTGGCATGGAGGGGCTTGTCCTGTACCATGAAACCCATGGGGGTGTGCGAAAAGTCCTGCCCTTGTCTCCGGAGGGCAAGCCATTCTTGCAGAAACACCAGCGGCCGGGGGCAAAATGTCCTCGCCACGGTCATCTCCTTGTTCTCTTCGCCATCCGAGACTTCCGTGTCGACATCCTCAATGCCGTCCATATTGGAGATGGAGATGGAGATGGAGCTTTCTTGCACTCCGAGAAGTTCAGACAAGGACTCGTACTCTTCCCACTCGAAATGGATCCGGCCAGCGAGAAGGCCAAGTCCCGTCTTCAACCACTGCGGTGCCTTCCAGTTCGGCGGCATCGGCGGGAAGGTCAAGAAGGTAAGGCTGTTGAAACAAAGCATCTTCCTCGTCACGGGAGATGCGTAGGTGATCAGATGGACTTTGGGGTGGATATCGTTGGTTTGCATCATGCGAAGGATTGCCTCGGCTTCCTCGGGAATCACGACCACCGCTGCCTCCACCACCTCGCTCCAAAGGACCCAACTGACGGGGCGCTGGATTTGTGTCAGCCGTCCATTCTTGCATTCAGACGGAAACGAAAGGGTGAAACTTACTAGGAAGTTGTCGAGCGACAAATCAGTGTACAATCTGACAGTCCTCTGGAATTCGGTCGAAACGAAAAGCTTCGTATCCACATGACCCCCCTTCACCGCGATCTTGTGCTTCTTTCCCAGCAGTGTTGCCGCCATGAACTGAAAGTAGTGCGTCATGGCATTGCTGTCCACAGGAGGCCGACCGCTGCGAACAAAGGCGGCCAGGTCCCGAGAAAGGCCGGGGAAGCCGAGCGCTTCGTAATGTCGTGGCTTCTTAGGCTGCCGTTGCACTTCGGCCTCGACGGCAACTTCGCGCTCCTGCTCGACCTCTTGGAGGGCGGATCCGTGAACGGCGCGGCCAGTATCCTGGAACCCCTTGCGCCGGGCGTTGAGTTCCCTTGCGAAGGCCGCAACGCTGGGGTGCGAGGACTTGAAGTCTCCGATGCGAGCAACCTTTTTCTTCGGTTCGTACATGGCCTGCAGGGTCTGAAGCTCGTTGAGCTTGATCGATGAGACGTAGTTCGCCTGTTGATCCACATCGGTGAGAAACTCGGAATTGTCGATGGAGGCTTGCGTTCTCCGACAGAAGTCGATTCCCTGCGAGTAGTACAGCGGTTGTAGTTGCTCAATGCCATCGCAGGAGTTGTCAAGCATCCAACATATGACATCGTGCGAGTCGATATTGTCGTGTGTGGTCTTGCCCTGAAGGTCGAGAATGACTTGGTGCACCTCGGGAGGGATGAAGAAGGTGATAGACTGGCTGGTTCCCAGCTGACGCAGTCGCATTGCGGCCTGAACTGTGTGATCCTTCGTCTGGCCTTGTCCCAGGGTGAGACCACCTCTGGCGTTCAGGGGAAACTTGAGGTCGGTCCCTCGGGTGTGGGCCTCGTCCAGATACACCAGACACTTGCTCAAGTCGTCGGCATACGGCGACGCGAGGAGAGGCGTTCTCTTTCCTGTCTTGGATATGATCATAGCTTTGTTGTTTGCGTCGAAGTACAGGGCCGCCTCCTGTCCGTCGATATCCAGCCATGTCCTCGCCAGAGTCTCATTGTCCATCTCGAGGATCAAAGCACCGGCGTCGATGAGAATGCTGATTCCCATTGTCTTAAGCATGTGCAGCAAATCTCTTTCCGTGGCGCGCTTTCCCCGGACGTCCGTGATGATCTTGCATTCGCGAGAACGGTCGTGGAGGAGATACGTCAGCACTTCGGCGTTGGTGTGGGACAGACTCTTCAGATCGGCTTGGCGGATGGTGAGCGGAAGCATGTTACGATTGTCATTGGTGCCGCTGAAGCCGGTCGTGAGTGGTCGGGCCCCTTGTCGAAGGGCGTGCTGTTGAACTTCGCCAACCTCGGCTGAAAATTGCGGGATGTCCCAGCCGCTGGACTGCAGCTTGACCTTGAACTGCTTGGCGTGCTGCGGGAAGACGAAGTTGTTGAGGAAGTAGTCAATAACGACGACCTGGTAACGAACTGCTCGCCATATCCCGTTGATTTGCGAGGCATCCTCCACATTGATGGCATTCCAACTGCGAAGGGAAAGCGGGAAGTCAGGGGTAGTGTAGACCCATTTGTCGTACTCGGTGGCTGGATCGTCCGACTCCTTGACCCTGCTCAGAGCCTTCTGCAGCTGCGCCTCGCTGACGCCGTCGTAGTAGAATACAAGGCAGGTAAAGAGGATGGCCACGTCAGGGTGCCCCCATTCCGACTGCTCGCTGGGAACACCCTTGGCGTGGTATGGCACAGCTACGGGGTCGCTGTTGGGTCGTAATCCGTACTGAACATTCCATCTCTTCTTCAACGTCATGATGAGAATGCGGTTGACGAGCAGGCCCCGGAGAAGGTAGACCATCTGCTTGATGTGCGGGCGATCAGGACGCAGGGCGCGGATCGTGCTGGCGGTGTCGGCCCGAAGTTTGCGGTGCCTCGGTGCGAGGAAGTCCTTGATCGCGAGGCGT